GGGTTTAGGGTTTAGGGTTTTGGGTTTAGGGTTTAGGGTTTAGGGCTACCGAATGAGGTCTTCACCACTTGTAGCTAAAGTTAACCCAAGCCGCAATGACCTATGAGCCGGAAAAGATCTACACAGACACCTAGTTGTGGCAATGGTCTTGAGGTTGTTTGTGCTTTCGCCAGTTTTGGGCTGTAACAATCCAAGCCAAGAACGCTAGCTAGCCTTGGAAGAAGGTACGGGGCAGTATCAAGGGACCATGTAACTACTTACATACCCTGTGTACCCCTGTACAGATGCGGAGAGAACTCTGGGGCAAGTAAACACGTTAGACCGTTTATTTCTTTGTAGCTCTATAGCCCAAAGCCCGAAACCCGAAACCCTAAACCCGAAATCCTAAACCCTATACCCAGGAAGCGCTAAACCCTAAACCCTATACCCAGGAAGCGCTAAACCCGAAACCCTAAACCCCAACACCTCAAAGACGGCGTCGGGGCTCATAACTGCGCCGGCGACCGAGGCGTGGCGACTCGGCGCTGTCGATGGCCACGGCCAATGGCCACCAGGCCAGTCTTACCCAAAGCTTGGGGTTTAGGGTTTAGGGTTTAGGGTTTAGGGTTAGCTTAGGGTTAGCCCACAACCCTCATGGCTGGGTTGGCTGAAGCATCATGGTTTGGCTCGGTGGGTCTCCGATGAGTCAGGAGACGCTGGCGTAACACGGGTTTGCATCTTTTTGTCCCGGTAGGTGTTGTGGAGAGAGGCTAGCGGCTCGGATTGACACTTACCCACGACAACAGATGTTCATTTTAGAGCTATGAAATGCCACCGGCAGCACGTATACACAATATCTCGAACCCGGGAAACCCCAAATCCCTAACCCTAAGCCCTAAGCCTTAAACACTCGTGAAGCCATCTCGGCCGCTGAACCGCCCAAAGAAGCCCAATACACTTTGCCTTGATTTAGGGTTTGAAGGGTTTACAAGGTTTGTAGGGTTTGATGGGGTTGGGGTGGGTTTTGCTTTCGTTTTTGGGCCCAAACCCTAAACCCTAAACCCTCAACCCTAAACCCTCCGGTCCCCAAAGTTGCTCCGGGTCGACAGCTTCGGTGCTGCCGCGAATCCACAGAGTGCCACACTGCTCTCAGCCTGCGGCCTAAGCGATGCCATGTATATTTAATGGCTACCGCCAATGCCGCCGACCCCATCCTAAGAATTGAAGCACGCTCTGTCCGGCTCAACCCCGACAGGAGGGGGGGTGGGGGGTGGGGGGGTGGGGTGGGGGGGGTGGGGGGTGTGTGGGTGGGGGGGCGGAAGGCAGGTGGAGGGGGGGGCATATGGGCGGGTGGGGCGGGGGATTGCGGGGGGGAGTGGTCCCTTACCTAGGGCCGCTGAAACCATGAAGCATGGGGCCAGGGCCATGATGGGGAGCGGTCGGAGTGGGCGGAGAGGGCGGAAGGGAGTGGAGGAAGCGGGCATGCACTGGAGCCCTTGGCACCATAGGGGAAGGCCCTGGGCCGCTGGGGCCATGAAGCCATGGGGCAGAGGGCCATGCGGAGCGGTCGGGGGGAGTGGAGGAAGCTGGCATGCACTGGAGCCCTTAAAACTCAGTTCAATGGTAGAAGGCTGGACCATGGGACCATGGGGGTAGGGCCCTGGGCCGCTGGGGCCATGAAGCCATGGGGTCGGAGAGGGCGGAGAGGGCGGGGGGAGTGGAGGAAGCGGGCATGCACTGGAGCCCTGAAAATTCAGCTTAGGGCCTTGGTAGAAGGCTGGGGCCATGGGACCCTGGGGGTAGGGCCCTGGGGCGCTGGGGCCATGAACAACTTAGGGCCTATGGCAGAAGACCATGGGAGTAGCCATGGGGCGGGGGAGTGGAGGAAGCGGGAATGCGCTGGAGCCCTTAAAACTCAGCTTAGGGCCTAGGGCCGCTGGGGCCAGAGGGCCATGGGGAGCAGTGGGAGTGGGCGGAGAGGGCGGGGGGAGTGGAGGAAGCGGGCATGCCCTTGGAGCACTGGATCCCTTTAAACTCAGCTTAGGGCCTATGGTAGAAGGCTGGGCCATGGGACCATGGGGGTAGGGCCCTGAAGGGGCGCTGGGGCGGGCGGGGTGGAGCAACTTAGGGTCTATGGCAGAAGGCGGGCCATGTTAGAATGGGGGTGAGCCCTTTTCTCAGCTTGGGTATGGTGAAGGCCGGGGCTGGACCTGGGGGTAGGCCCTGGGCCGCTGGGGCCGAAGGCTGAACCATGGGTGAGCCATGGGGCCAGAGGGCCATGGGTAGCAGTCGGAGTGGGCAGAGAGGGCGGGGGGAGTGGAGGAAATGGGACTCAGCTTGGGGCCGATGGGAGAAGGCTGAACCATGGGACCATGGGGGTAGGGCCCCGGGGCGCTGGGGCCATGAAGCCATGGCCAGCCGTGGGGAGCGGTTGGAGTGGGCGGAGAGGGCGGGCATGGGACCATGGGGGGTGAGCCCCAAAACTCAGCTTGGGGTAGGCCCTGGGCCGCTCGTGGGGAGCGGTCTGGGGGAAGTGGAGGAAGCGCTTCAAACTCGCTGGGCCTATGAAGTCATGGGGTTTGGATGCCATGGAGGTGTCAGCTTGGGCATGGTGAAGGCTGGGGCCATGGACCTGGCGTAGGCCCTGGGCCGCTGGGGTTACGGCGACCGGCCGGAGTGGGCGGAGAGACTGGGACACGTGGGCGGTGGCGCTGGGCCGCTGGGGCCGTGAAGCCATTGGCCATGGGGGCGGTCGGGCGGAAACCGTTAAAACTCAACCATGGAAGTAGGCCTGGGACATTGCACTGAGCCCAAAACTCAGCTTGAGGCCTCTGGTAAAGGCTGGGCGGGGCAGGGGGGTGGGGGGGGAGGAGGCGGGGGAAAACGGAGGGGGCGCGGGCATGCACTGGAGCCCTTAAGAATTAGCCTGGAACCCTTTAAATCATTGCCTTGTCCGTGAGGGGGTGGGGTGGGGGCGGGTGGAGCAACTGGCAGAAGGCTGGGTCATGGGAATACGGGGTATGGTGAAGGCTGGAAAGGCTGGGGCCATGGACCTGGGGGTAGGCCCTGGGCCGCTGGGGGCTGGGGCCATGGGACAGGCCTGGGCTGTTGGGGCCATGAAGCCATAGCCAGGGCGGAGAGGGCGGGTGCCGAACATGCATTGGAGCCTGGTAAGAAGGCTGAGGATGGGACCATGGGGGTAGGGATGGGACCATGGGGGTAGGGCCCTGAAGCGCTGGGGACATGGGGCCAGCCATGGGACCATGGGGGTAGGGCCCTGGACCATGCGCGTGTCAGGGCTGGGCCGCAGAGAGCATGAAAGAGAGGAAGCGTTTTTGATAGAAGGCTGGAGCCAGGCTGCGGGGGCCATGAAGCCGTGGGGCCAGAGGGCCATGGACCTGGGGGTGGGCCTGGGCCGCTGGGGCCATGAAGCCATGGGGCCAGAGGGCCATGGGGAGCGGTGGGGGGGAGTGGAGGAAGCGGGCACGCACTGGAGCCCTTATAGTGCCATGGAACCATGGGGGTAGGGCCCTGGGGCGCTGGGGCCATGAAGCCATGGGGCCAGAGGGTCATGGGGGGGGAAGTGGAGCAAGCGCGAACTGGAGCCCTTAAAACTCAGCTTAGGGCCTATGGTAGAAGGCTGGGGCCATGGGACCATGGGGAATGGCGGGGTGGGTGGGGGTGGGGGGTGGGGGTGGGAGCGGCAAGCCTGTCATAGATGAGGTGGAAGGTCTAACACGCAGTGGGTCTTCACTGACGCCGCCCCCGGCTGGGGTCGGCGGATATGGGGGGTTTTAGGGTTTAGGGTTCAGGGTTTAGGGTTTAGGGTTTCCGAAATTAGGGGTAGCTTCACGGGGTCCTTATTGTAAGAGAATGCTACTATTTAGGGGAATCTACGAGGGGCCCCTTATTTGCGTAAACCCCCATATATATATATATATATATATATATATATATATATATATATATATATATTTTCTATATTTTTTTCTATATGTGCAAGCAAACATCCAAAGATATGCAGACATACATATATTTGTATTTGTTTTAATATAAACCCCAAAGCCCTCGACCTCAAAGCACCCCTGACGTCCGCCATGTTGCGACACCATGGAGTGGCCCTTCACAGGAACCTGACTCTTCACGGGGGTTAGGATTTAGGGTTTAGGGTTTAGGGTTGAGGGTTGAGGGTTGAGGGTTGAGGGGCAAGCCCTTAATTTCTAAACCCTGCCAGCCTACTGTTTAGTTTAAGAAATAGCCCCAACAAGAAGAGATCGGTAGATTTTGGGGGTCTATTCGGGTTTAGGGTTTAGCGTTTAGTGTCCTGTGTCCTGAAGATCTTCGGCTCCGGCGTGGAAGGTATGGGCTTTTCAGAGCAGGGGGATGCATGTAGGGTAGGGTGTTTCTACTTGACGCTTAGCTCTTAGATGTTCATCATTTAGGGGGTTACGTAAACCCTAAACCCTAAACCCTCAACCTATCTTTGGCCCGAAATGACCGCGCAAACATCCAAGCCCGAAGAAACCCTCAAACCCTGGGTGCCCTGAAGACCTCAAACAGAATCCCTAGCACCTAAACTGGACCTAAACCCTAAACCCCAAACCCCAAAGCCCCGTTACGACCCGCTAAAGATCCCTGAGACCCAAAACCTGAATTCCTAAAGCCTCTCAAGCTCCAGAGAACCCAATACCTCTTAGTGAAGCTTTTCCATAAATCATATTCAGAGTCGCAAGATAGCTTGAGAATCGCATTCCTTGAGTCCTAAACGCAAAGGCCTACTGAAATTTCAGGCATACTCCGCATTCCCGGGAATGTCGGCTCTCTGGAAGGCCCCAAAGAATTCAGGCCAACCCGAAACCCCAAACCCTGAATCCTAAGCCCTGAACCCCAAACCCGAAACCCTAAACCCTGAACCCGAAACCCCAAACCCTAAACCCAAGGTCCCTAAACCTCCCTAAACCCTCCTAAACCCTAAACCCTAAACCCTGACCCCCTAAACCCTAAACCTTGGGACCCCAAGGATGCCTTGGCTGCGGCCGTGGCGACCGCCGAAGCCGTCGGCCCTTTGGACTTCGGTTTAGGGTCCAAGCGGTCTAGGGGGTGTAGGGTTTAGGGTTTAGGGTTTCGGGTTTAGAGTTCAGGGTTTAGGGTTTAGGGTTCAGGGTTTAGGGTTTTGGGTTTGAAATTTGGGGAGTGCAGGGTGCAGGGTTTAGGTATTTGGCACTTTTTCCAGGATGTCGGGGTGAGAGCTTTACTTTAAGGTATTCACTCATGTCATTAGGTTGAGGGCTCGCCAGGGATTTCGGGTAGCTTAGAGAATGAGGGAATTAGGGCCCTATGTCGTCCCTTAAAGGGTATATATAGGGCTATCATTCCCTCATTCCCTACTAAGAACCCTCTCCACACTAAACCCTAAACCCTAAACCCTAAACCCTAAACCCTACTAAGAACCAGGGCTTAGAGTGCTGTGTTATGGCTTCTGCAGGGCTTAGGTTGCAGGGGAGGTCTGGAGGACTTCAGTGTTCATAACTGTGCAGGTCAAAGGGTTTTTTGAACCCTAAACCCTGAACACTAAACACCCTAAGCCCGAAGCCCTAAGCCCTAAGCCCTAAGCCCTAAGCCCTAAGCCCTAAGCCCTAAGCCCTAAACCCTAAACCCTAAACCCTAAACCCTAAACCCTAACCTAAACCCTAAAGCGCATTTGTGTTGTCCCACTGGCGCAGGTCCCACGTTGTGGAAACCGACTCCAAGGGGCACTTCGAGGCCGGTGGGGCCAAAGGGGGCCGGCACCCTCAAAGGGTTTAGGGTTTAGGGTTTGGGGTTTGGGGTTTGGGGTTTAGGGGACGTTTCATAAGGTCTCTTATTGGGTTTAAGAGGGTCAAATTCAGGAATTTGTTCAAGGGCTTGGGGGCGGGGGGGGGGGTTAGGAGGGACAGGTGGCAGGTCGGAGGGTTTAGGGTTCCAGCTTTAAGTGGCTAGATTCTTCTTACCCTGCATGTGAGAGCTATTCATGAGCCTTCAAGCAAACGCAAAAGAAACTCAATCCCTAACCCTTTGCTACCCTCAACCCTTAAACCTACGAAGGCCTTGAGGCCCTAAACCCGAACCCCAAATGACCCATAACTTGGGATGTACACCCTTATACTAACGGTCCTTAAGAGGGATTCTAGTATCCCCCATTTTTATCCCCATTAAGGACTACTGTTAGCATAAGGGGGAACATCCCTAAACCCTAAGCCCTAAGCCTAAACCCTAAACCGTAAACCCTAAACCCTAATCCCTAAACCCTAAACCCTAAACCCTAAACGAGACGATGAGGTACCGTTCATCTCTCGGCCCGGGCCGGCTTCAGCGCTTTGCTAGCTGCGGTCGCTGGTGGGCGCGGCTGGGACTTCGTTTTCGGGTCTGGGAGTTCTTGCTTTCAGAGTGTTGGGATGCAGGGCTTAGGGATTTAGGGCTTGTAGGGGTTTAGAGATTTAGGATCTTTGGTTTCAGGTGTTTGAAACTGTTTTTGACTTTTAGGTTTAGGTTTTAGAGTTTAGGGTTTAGGGTTTAGGGTTCAGGGTTTAGGGTTCTTCAGGAACCATTGAGGGCCATGTGGGTTCGTCAGTCTGAGTGCAGCTTCAGCATCAGGGTCTCAGGGGTTTAGGGTCTACCTACTTTGTGGTACTTTACTGTAACTTTAGATCCTTAGCCTTTTTGGGTTTGTTGGGTTTCTTAATAAGGTAGCTAAAATTTTAAGTTTTAGCTACCCTTCTGAGTACTTGAGTTTTATACGCTGGAGTGGGGTTATACGTTTAGCGCCCAAGCAGGCGCCTTCTTTGAGCCTTAATCTTGGCTAGGGGGTATTGGTTTTTGAGGGTGGGGGGGAGGAGCCCTGAACCCCAAACCCTAAAACCCTAAACCCTAAAACCCTAAACCCTAAAACCCAAAACCCTAAAACACTAAACCTAAAAACCCTAAACCTTAAAACCCTAAGCCGTCTAAAGCTGACCCCAAACCCTAAAACCCAAAAACCTAAAACCCTAAACCCTAAAACCCTAAAACCCTAGAACCTTAAGCCGTCTAAAGATGCCAGAACAAGCTCAAGTCGAGTGCCCAGGTCTTCGTCGCGCGTCCACGGCCATCGTGGCGGTCAGTCGGGCCGAACCAGAGGCTTCCCAGGGTGCAGGGTTTGGGCTTGAGGGTTTAGGGTTTAGGGTTCAGGGTTTAGGGTTTAGGGTTTAGGGTTTAGGGTTTAGGGTTTAGGGTTTAGGGTTTAGGCTTAGGGTTTATCCTATCCTAAGGTCCTAAGCCCCCAAGCCCTGGGAAGCCCCTGAAGCCCGAAGGCGCTGCGAAGATTGCTCTGTGGTGCTTTACTGTAGCTTTAGATCCTTGGCCTTTTTGGGTTTTATTGGGTCTCTGAATAAGGCCAGCCAAACATTTAATTGACAGCTACCCTACTAAGTGCAGCCAAGATTGTTTTGCCCTGCGAAGACCAGAACCAGAAGCCTTACATTCGTGAGACCCCCCCCTCGGACCCCCACACCTCAACCTGACTCTTCCGGATGGTTCGTAGGAGGGAACGAGGGAATGAAGGCCCCATAGAATCCCTTCAAGGGTATATATAGGGCCCCTCATTTCCCTCATTCCCCACTAAGAACCAGGGGGGTTTTCCTGAACCACCGCAATCTGTGCCATAGCCCAACTTTTACAGCCTCCACCAGAAGCTTCTAAGCAACCAGGGGCTAAAGTTGACAGTCCAACATAGGGGCCTGAGTAATAGGGTTATTAGAGTATATTTATAAAGGGACCATAAAGGAATAGTATTAGTAATAATTCCAACCCCTATGTTAGGCAAGGTCGAGCTTTAGGTTTGTAGGCCCTTCGGACATGTTATGTGTTCTTCCCTTGTTGGGTTTAAGAGGAGCATATTCAGGAATACTTTGCAGAGCGTTTTAAGGGCTATCCTGGCTGATGACGATGATGATGGTGATGGTGATGGTGATGATGATGAACATGTCTTTCGACTCTACGGACAAAATCGCAAACCGCGAGCCACAAGATCCCCGACAAGATAATAACTCATCAGGAATCTAAGGTTTAGGGCTTAAGGTTTAGGCACGACCCAACCCTGTGAGTCTAAAAACAACACAGCACTTGTGGTTTGCACCTTATCAATCTGACGTACTTTGGGCCGTTTTGCCACCCAAGCACCCTAAACTCCTCAGCGCGAACTCCCCCCCCCCCCCCAAAAAAAAAAAACAATGTCCCAAGAAAAGCCCTTGGTGAACCTCTAGGCTCGCAAACCCCTAAGGCCCCCAGAGCAACGTCAAGATCCTGCAGATTTGGTGGTTGGGTTTAGGGTTTAGGGTTTAGGGTTTAGGGTGTAGGGTGTAGGGTGTAGGGTGTAGGGTGTAGGGTGTAGGGTGTAGGGTGTAGGGTGCCACAGAGGTCACGCATCTGCTCGCCCCCATATGCCCCCTCGTACTGTGGGCGCGACATCAAATGAGGTATTGAGGGTTTAGGGTTTAGGGAAAGCGCTCCGCACAGGCGCTTTATGGCTTCTTGTTTGTGCAATTGGCAGAAGGATGGCTGTCCATCCCAAACTCTAAATAGTAGCAAGCCCAACCCCAAGCCTAAACCCCAAGCCGTAAACCCTAAAACCCAAAACCCAAAACCTTCTGTCCATCCTTCGAGCCAGCACAGAGAAAGCCCGACTGGTGGGCATGGGGCGTGCTCCGGGTTCTGCGGCCCGGAGCAGCCCCGCCGCATCCTCCCACCAGCTCTCCGGCCATGCAGCCCAGCGCCTGGCGTGGACGGGGTAAGTCCTAAACCCTAGACCCAAACCGTATAAACCTTGAAGCCCGAGCTCAACCTCAGAAACCCCTAAGCCCTAAACCCTAAACCCTAAACCCTAAACCCTAAACCCTAAACCCTAAACCCTAAACCCCACGAGCTCGCGGCTCCCACACATGGCAGGCTGACAGCGCCACGCTGGCGCATCGTGGCGAGGTTGACGCCGCGCTCGACAGCGCCCTGGGAGTCGTTTGCTTCAGGGTTTAATGGTTGCTTGCAGGTGTGCAAGTCTCGAAGTTTAGCGAACCAAAAACCCGAAACCCCAAAGAACCCTGAACCCTAACAACCAAAATAAGAAACCCCGAACCTCAACGAACCCACCCAGACCCGACAGAACCCCAAACCCGAAATCCCGAACCCAAAAGAAACCCAAACCCTAAGCCCAGAACCCCACAGACAACCCATGAGAACCCTAAACCCACAACCAACCCCAAAGCCCAAAACACCCAAACCCCGAAGCACCCTGAAAAAGGGGGGTGAAGTCCTCACACGAAGCCCCAACTTAGTAGTTGAGCGAGTACACTTTACACTTTTTTGGGATACGATAATCCCCTATAGAACCGAAAGTGTACACTTTTTTGGGGCTTATGAACTCAGCAACTAAGATAAGAAGCCGTCAGACGTCAAGCCCCACATCCTGAACATCAGCCACGGAACCCCAAGGCGCAAGGCGCCCCGGGTTTAGGCTTTGGAGAGGGTGTAGGGTTTAGGGTTTAGGGTTTAGGGTTTAGGGTTCCGGGTTTAGGGTTTAGGGTTTAGGGATGTTTAGGGTTTAGGGTTCATGGTTTAGGGTTTTGCGATGCGAACGCGCTTCGACCCTCCATGAAGTGGTTGGGGGTCGGCGCACGAGCGGCAATGCCCACCCTCCCACCCAAACTACAAACCTTGGACGGCTTAGGGTTGTCTACCCCCCACCCCCCTATCAAGGGGGGATAACATGGTTCTGTGGAGCAATCGTCTGGCCAAACGCCAGGAACAAGCAAGGTTATCTAGCAAAATGCAGCTGTCGGGAAAGCAAGATGTCTCTGCGTTGGGGCGGCCCTTCGGCCGTTCTGAAAACTGTTCTTTCCACCTTCTTCATCCCCCAAAGCAATTTTTCGTTTCAGGAAGCAGAAGCAACGGGTCCGCGGATGTTTCCACTTGGAGGGTCATGGTACTTATTAACCAGTTATAACTGTACGTACAACCCACTTATAAGCCCCTGAAGTGCCCTAATATGGTTTTTGGTACACTTATAAGTACTTAATAAGTACCATGAACGTCCAAGCAGCCCTTTCAGGCAAAAGTGGCAGGCCAGTCCTTTCAGGATTAGCAAAAGCAGCGGGCTCGACTCGATTCCGCCAACTGGCCAGTTTTGAGCCCCAGAGCCTTCATTTTTATTCTTGCCTCCAGGCCTTAATTTAGTTTTGAATCCCCAAACCCTGAATGTCGTCCTCTGGGCCGTAGTTTGAAACTCCCAAACCCTGAATTTGATGTAAGCCGCTCGCCCAACCCTTCATTCCCGGGCCCTTAATTTTAGATCAACAAACTTCTAATTTAAGCCTCCGGGCCTTAATTTTAGGTTTTCGTAATTTTAAGCCCCCAAGCCATTTTTGAAGCCTCCAGGCCTTAGAGATAAAGACTCCGGGAATCAGTTTTAAGTCCCCACACCTGCATTTTAAGCTTCCTGAATTTTAGGTCCCCCAAACCATTCATTTAAACCTCCGGGACTAATCTTAGGTGCCCAAACCCTTAGTTTAAGTTTCCGGGTCTTGGTTTTACTTCCCCAAACCCTTGAGTTACAATATCAGAGCCTCCGGCCCCAATCTTCGCCTCCGGACCTTAAATCGAAATAAAAGTCCCAAGCCCTTTACTTTCGCCTCCAGGCCTTCGGGCCTTTCCTGTCTGTGCACCAGCAAGTGGAGGGACTTCAGGCGTGCCCCGGTCGTTTGCGCCAGGGTTTAGGGCTATCATTTTATATAGACTGACAGAGGCGGCCTTTGCAAAGCCGCGTGGAGCTGCGGGTCCAAGACCTGCCTGCGGTTGAGCTTTCGGCAAGCCAGCCTCGGTCTGCGGGCTCCTTCCGGCAGCCCGCAGCGACCGGCCGCATTCCTGGGAAGCGGGCCGGTCTTCAGTTTTGGGGGTTTAGGGTTTTGGGTTTTGGGTTTTGGGTTTAGGGTTTAGGGTTTAAGGTTAAACCCCAAAACCACAAAAGAAGCCCAAAACAGCCCAGGCGCCTGGAAGCACCTCGACCGAGTGTTGAGGGATGACGTCGGCTCTTTGGCTCAAGTGGCTAGAAGAAGCATGATATAGGCTTTGGGGGGTTCGGGTTTAGGGAATAGATATGTATATATATATATGTATATATATATATATTTTGTATACATACATCATATGCAAATATGTGTTTTTGTATTTACAGGTTTCGAGGGAGGCCTTCTCACCTCCTCCCCCCCCCCCCCCCCCCCCCCCCCCCCACGCCCTCCTCTTCGCAGCCTTGCCAGGTCCTTCGCTGTAACACCCTCTAGAGGTACATGATGCATTGCCTCCCCCATCCCCAACACACCTTGTGGTGGGGGTTCCCCTAACTTTCGAAACCCTCAATTTTTAGCGCAAAGGATGCCACGGTTTGAGAGAACTGGCTGGCGTTCCTTGTTATGAAGGGGCTATGCTTATGACCAGTTCAGGTCGCCGGGCATGTGTGCATTCTAAGCTTTCTCACGCCCAAGATCCAGAAGCCAGACAGGCCTGAACAGTGCAGTCGAGGATCAGGCAGGGCCTTGATTTTCGGACCGGTACTTGTTGGGTTTGGGTTGGAGCGTCATGGGAGTTTGCTGCAGGGATCACTTCGAGGAGGGGGAGGGGGAGGGGGGGAAGGCTCCACCCTAAACCTTATATCCTAAACCCTAAACCCTAAACCACAGAAAACCCTACGAGGTGACCTTGACTATAGAACTGTCACCCGCGGTGGGGTTGTCTGTGGGATGTTAGGGGTTGATGCAGGGAACGCGACTCGATGCAGTAGGGTGATGAGTACCCCGGATACCAGTTGCAATCGTAGGTATCTTACTGTGAGGTTGGAATAACTCCCCACGTAAAGCTGGAACCTTCCAGCGCAGTTCTTGTAAAGGTGAAAGAACTTCGGTTTTGCGGGCAAACTTCGAACTCCCAACCCTAGAGCCTCTCCCTAGACCCTAAACCAAAAACCCTAAAAACCCTAAACCCCTATGCGCTTACGGCCAGCACACCTCCGGTGCCCGCAGCCCCAGTGGCTGAATGGAGCTTTTAAAGCACCCAAATCTGGGCTTTAGGGTTTAGGGCTTAGGGTTTTGGGTTTGGGTTTGGGGTTTTGGGCTTAGGGTCCTAACACCCCAAAACCCCAAGGCCTCAAGTCCTGAGCGCGTGATCCCGAAACCCTAAACCCTGAACTCTACACCCTAAACCCTAAACCCTAAACCCTAAACCTTAAACCCTAAACCCTAAGCCTGCAGCCCCAAAACCCTGAAACCCAAAACCCCGCATCCTGTTCCGGGTCCAACTACGGGTTCTGGTTCTTGGGGCCCTGGGTTTTCGGGTCTTCTAGACCTATCACCGTACTCTATATACATATATATATATATTTTTTTTTAAATATCTTAATATATTAGTATATATATATATATGTGTATATATGTATATATATATACCCTCAAGAAACCCTATAAAGCCCAGTCGCCCATTGAAAAAGCGCTATAATGACTCTAGTCAAAACATCCCATTATCTAATCCAAAAAACCCAACTACACATGTATAAATACAGGAGACCGCCACCTGCCTGCAGGCCCGAACCTATGGCGAGGTCACCCCGACTGGAGCTCGGCGTCTCGCTGAAGCCCTGGGCCTGTCGCAAGCAGGCGGATCGGGGTTTCGGGATGAGCGCTTGGGATATCAAGTGGCTTGGGATTAGGGTTTAGGGTTCAGGGTTTCGGGTTTAGGGCGAGCGCTTGGGATTTTAAGGGGCCTGGGGTGTATCAGCCTTATCAGCACCCGCCCTAAACCCTAAAGCCCTAAACCCTGTCAGCCCCAAAAAGCCCCACCATCCCCAAACTCGGTATAAGCCGTAAATCAATTCCAAACCCTGACGAAACCCACTCAACCCTGTAAAGCCCTATAAAACCAATGCACACGATAAATCACCTAAGCCCCAAACCCCTTAAACCCTCCTCAGCCTCCCCAAACCCCTTTAACCCCCCTCCCCTCTACACCCGCCTAACGCCCCCTAAAGCCCCCCGAAACCCCCCTAAACCCCCCTAAACCCCCCTGAACCCTGAACCCTAAACCCTCAACCCCTGAAGCCTCCTTAAAACCCCCGGGTCCCTGCTCGCGGTCCGAAGAACCAAAAGACCGCCCTGGTTCTTCCCACCGACGCCACGTTCGCGCGCAGAACTGCTCCTGGGTTTTGGAGTACTATACTTTAATACTCTTTATGGTTCTGGGTTCCTATTGTAGTTACTTATACCTAAAAAGTATATACTTTTTTTCCAGGGTCTACTCCAAAGGTGGGGCTCTCTTCAGCCACTTGCAGAAATGTCGGCATGCGCAGTTCTTCCTGTATTTCTCACGACATGCACATGCGAGATCACTCGGGGCCACCAGTTTTCAGGGCAAAGGCCAGTCATGGCATGAACACGCAGCTTCCTGTGCTTCTCATGACATGCATATGCACAGTCCCTCGGGGCCAGCAGTGTTCAAGGCAAAAACCACTTTCTGAGCAGGCCAGCCATGGAACCTTTGCTCCTTGCAGCTGTTCATATTTGACCTCTGTGAGGATGATCCACCTGCTGCTTTGCCGGCTTCTGGCATTGTTTTCCTGAGGGGCACTTCTGAGGCCAAAGTTCTCGTACAGTTCTCTCGTCTTTGTCGACTTGCCGCATTGCTCGTGCTGGACAGCTTGGATGTCCGCCACAAGACTTTGGTTTGCCTGCGAAGGACAGCTCGTGGCTTTTCCAGTAACAAAAAGGATCGCCAGCCGCTCACACTTACATGTCTCCATGTCCCCAAACCTTGTCATGTTCAGGGATGCCTGCGCGCGCGAACGTGCGGTCGGCGCGCTCCAAATAGGGAATGAGGGAATGAGGGCCCTATATAATCCCTTAAAGGGAATTTTTAGGGTTTAGGGTTTAGGGTTTCCCTAAACCATCATTCACTCATTCCCTACTAAGAGCCAGCCAGAAGAGGCTTTGGGTCGTCCCACTTCGTCGACCTGGGGAGCGGCTCCCTGGGCTTATGTGAACTTCGAGGGTTTAGGGTTTAGGGTTGAGGGTTTTGGGTTGAGGTTAGGATGCTTTCTGAGTGTTTTTGGCCAATTTTTTCGGGGGCGGATTGAGAGTTTAGGCGTTTCGGAGGTTCCTTGTGCCCAGGAACGCGGGCATTTTATTTCTCGTATCTTCTGAACAGCCGAGGCTGTGGCAAGCTCGTCACCCAGGCGTGGCTTCGGAATTCGGGTTTTTTTTTACCCTTTAGGGTTTGGGCGCCGAGGGTTGTTTAGGGTTCAGGGTTTAGGGTTTAGGGTTCAGGGTTTAGGGTTTAGGGTTTAGGGTTTAGGGGTTGGAGGTTGGGGATTCGGTTTAGGGGGTTGTTTCTAAGGTTCGGTTCTCGCAAGGGCGTGCGCACTCATGAAGCCTACCCTGAACTGCCCGGAACTCTCAAATGTAAACGCTGTCAAGACCAGCCGTCGGGGTGGGGGAGAGGGAGGCGGAGTTGCCTCGGAGAACTTCCCAAAGAGCCCCATACCTCATAAATCAATCACTTAGCCTACACCCTAAACCCCAAACCCTAAACCCCAAAACCCCAAAACCCCAAACCTTTTAAGCCGCCTCAGATTGCAGGCATACCTCGAGTGGCCGGCCGTCAAGCGTGCTGTGGGGGTCGAGCTCTGCCCGGAGCGAACGGCACAAGCGAAGCAGGTCCGCCTGTTTCTCTTGGTAGCCCGGTGGTACCCTTTTCCCCCTTTGTTTGGTTCATTTAGGGTTTAGGGTTTAGGGTTTAGGGTTTAGGGTTTAGGGTTTAGGGTTTAGGGTTTAAGGTTAGCTTGGTAGCCCGGTGGTACCCTTTACCCTTGTTCTGGTCCTTGGTTTCCTTTTTAAGTAGCCAAACCAGAAAAGGGTACTTTTATTTTGCGATGATTACTGGGCTACCAAGCATGTCTATATTTATACATACACACACACACACTTATTTTCTTAAATGCTTGAATGATATTTATCACTCAAAGAATATTCAACTAAACATATTGGAAGTGTGTTATGTTTGTTAACCAGAATGTCACACAAATATAATATACGCATAGAACAAAGCCTCCACCACGCACCCACCCACCCACCTACCCACCCCCCCACACACACACACACACACATGTTTTCGAACCCCTTCAAAGCCGGGGAGGACCTAAGCCCTTACATGCCCATACGTGTGATAAACAAAATTCGACCCCATGTTGGCCAAAATGGACCAACAAACCCAGTTGACCTTTATAAAACCCGAACCCGAAAACCCGAAGTCCTAAACCCTAAACGCTAAACCCTTCGGCCAGGCTTGGTCGAAGCTCGTCGCATCCGGCACAGCAGCTTCCCTCCGAGGCATGCTGGGCCCAAGCCAAGAGAGCCCAAGGACCAGTCCATACATTGTAGTATGGTAGGGGTTTAGGGCTCAGGGCTTAGGGTTTAGGGTTTAGGCTAAGTTTAGGATTGATCTATGCGGGTGCAGCTCTCCGAGGCAACTTTTGGGATTTCGGGGAGGAACCCGGTTTAGGGTTTAGGGTTTAGGATTTAGGGTTTAGGGTTTAGGGTTTAGGGTTTAGGGTGTAGGGTGTAGGGTTTAGGGTTTAGGGTTTAGGGTTTAGGCTAAGTTTAGAATTGACCTATGCGGGCGCAGCTCTCCAAGACAACTTTTGGGATTTCCGGGAGGAACCCCTCGGTTTAGGGTTTAGGGTTACGGTTCAGGGTTCAGGGTTCAGGGTTCAGGGTTAAGGGTGTAGGGTTTAGGGCTTATATAGGGTTTAGGGTTTAGGGTTTAGGGTAAGTTTAGGATTGATCTATGCGGGTGCAGCTCTCCGAGGCAACTCTTGGGATTTTGGAGAGGAACCCCTTGGTTTAGGGTTTCGGGTTTAGGGTGAGGGTTGAGGGTTGAGGGTTTAGGTTTTAGGGTTTAGGGTTTAGGGTTTAGGGTTTAGGGTTCAGGGTTTCCCCCTTCCCCCTCCCCCCACCCACCCCCAGACAGCTTTTTCTTGACAGCGTTCACAGGGCAGTTCAGGGTTAGGTTTCCTGAGTGCGCACGGAACTTATGCAAGGAGGGCGCGTACTCCTCCAAACCGACTGGAATCGGACATTGGTTGAGGGTTTAAGAGAGCAGAGCTGTCAGGTCAAGAAACGCCATGGCCCCAGCCATGAACCCTAAACCCTAAACCCTATACCCTATACCCTAAACCCTAAACCCTATACCCTATACCCTAAACCCTAAAACCTAAAGCCCTAAACCCTAACCATCCCAGAGAGCCCACGGTTCTCACTTAAGGCATACTGTGTGCTCCTGAACTTAGGGGCCCTAAACCCAAAACCCTAAACCCTAAACCCAAAACCCTAAACCTTAAACCTTTGGGCTTCCTGGGCTACTGTAGAGCCCAAGCCTCACGGCCATCCAACAGGAAAAATGGCTGGGAACCCTAAAGTTTGGACATGAAGACTATAACTCTCAAGGCAAGCGACTAGGGTTTAGGGTTTAGGGTTTAGGGCTTAAGGTTTAGGGTTTGGGTTTATCGTTTCAAGGGACTAAAGGAGGGACCCTTTTTGGGGACCTTAGGGGCTCTTTGCGGGTTATTTTTTCGCCTACTTAGGTACATAGGGTCTATATAAGGGTTCTAAAAGGGGTTATGTAGGGGAATAAGATTAAGGGTCCCCCCTCCCTGCATTCCTTGAAACTCGGCCGCCTTAGGGACTTGCGCAAGGCAGCATGCTGCAGCAGAACGTCTCCCAGAGGACCGTGCAGGAGGACGCCCGGTTCAGAATCTGTTGGCAGGGTTTAGGGTTTATGTGGTGTAGAGTTTAGGGTTTGGGGCCCCGGTTTTTTGCGGACTTATGTGAAAGAGAATTCGGATTTTGAATCTTAGGTTGTGACTTTCCCCGCATGGTCAGGCACATGCCGTACATTTGCGACTTCCCCGACAACGACCTTCATCCTTGGGTTCAAGGAATAGGGTATGGGGCTGAAGGTTTAGGGTTTAGGGTTTTAAGGCTTAGGGTTTAGGGTGATATATATATATATAGAGTTTCTAGGAGATCGGGTTTTTCAATACATGCAAGCCCTATACCCTAATCCCTACCTCGACGCCGCTGTAGGGGGGCTTGTTTACCAGTAACCCAAAGGGTCCTAAGTACCTAAAGTAGGGTTTCTATACTAGACATTACTATTATGGTTCCCATATACGTACTTAGGACCCTTTGAATATCCTTAGCCTGATGACATTTGTACGTTGATCTTTAGGCTGGATTTAGAGTTCCTTAAGTCACTTCCGTTGAGTGATAGTTTGCAGTGGCTTAGTTCTACTGGCCATCGTTGTGTGTAGGACTTGGAGGTTCAGGGTACTTAGCAACCCATAACAAGTGCAGCTATAACCCACACATAAGCCCCTTGAGTACCCGAATAGGGTTATAATTGGGTTATAAGTGCAGTCATAATTGGGTTACTAAGTACCATGAACCTCCAAGTAGTATACAGCAGTAGCTGCAGCTTGACGTCATGTTTCGGTGCACATCCCGCCGGGAAACCCCGGCCGTGGCCGTCGTTGTTGGCCCGGCCATTGGAAAGACGTCACCCCCGAAAACATCCCAAGCACTAAAATCCCTTCTGGTCCCTTTAAAGACTGTACTATGATAACCCCCCCCCCCCCCCCGCAAGCCCCCAAACCCCTATTCTAATTATTTAGGCCCCTAGAGTCGAGTTTAAAATTGCTGCAAAGGACCTCGTGCTCGTACAAGGCGACCTTCTGGAAGCCGACATTTCGCAGGCATGGCCTCGTGGTGAAAGTCGTCTCCAGACTCATGTGGCAGTTTGCGAAAGTAAGTTGACCCCTAAGAATAGACCCCCAAATAGTAGGATCCCCTCAATTTAGGGTTTAGGGTTTAGGGTTTAGGGTTTAGGGTTTAGGGTTTAGGGTTTAGGGTTTAGGGCATCATAATATCCTTGCTCGTGGGTACGGAGCTGATCAGTTCAGACCATTTCATATCAGCGCAGCGTGCACAGGGGTGGTCAGTGCTTCGGCGCAGGCTCGATTTAGATCCGCATAGCGGCATGTACGGGTTTACGGTTTAGGGTTTGGGGTTTAGGGTTTAGGGTTTGGGGCTTAGGGTTTCGGGGTTAGGGTTTAGCTGACTCCTGCCAACAGCCTCCGAAGCTATCCCAAGCCCTCTGCGCTGTAGGTTCGCCGGCTTTTGTTGCAACTCAGAGTTTGGAGGTTCAATATCAGATGCCCAGTACTACCCTTTTTCCCTTGTTGGGGGGGTGTAGGTTCCCTTATAAAGCCCTTTTAAGCCAAAAAGGGCACCCTGCTCAATCCTGGGTTCCTGGGCAACCTAGGTACGTGGAGGTTCATGGGTACGTATAACCCCAATTCTAACTCTACTTAGAACCTACTTAGAGGACTTAGGGGGGCTTATAAGTACAGTTATACTATTATACTCGGGGTTATAACTACGTACCCTGAACCGTAAACCCAAACCGTAAACCGTAAACCCTAAACCCTAAACCCTAAGTAAGCCCTAAACCCTAAACCCTAAACCCTACACCCTAAACCCGAAACCCTAGACCCTAAGCCCTAAACCCTAGACCCTATCATGTAGCAAGTACCCTGGACCTCCACGTACAATCGTGATGCTAATTTAGGCTTCCTCGTGGCAGGCGACCCACATCTTTGTCTCCTCTCTCTGTTTTGGTGAGGAGCTGCTCGCCCTTCGGATGCGCTTAAGCCCAGGGTTTAGGGTTTAGGTTTTAGGGTTTCGGATGCGCTTCTGCCCGATCTTGTCACTTGAAGGCGCTTACAAGGTAAACTTTAGAGTGCCGGGGACGTCGAGTTGCACACGTGGCGCTTTAGCCTTTTTGGGTGCTCCAGTGGGCTTTGCATGGAAAAACCCGGAGGTTAACCATGCTCCTACTGCAGACAAATGAGCCGGTAAGGACACATGTTTTCGGATGAAGCCCCCTCAAACAATTGAAGGGTTAACAACAATACTCGTTCAGTAGGGTTCTCAGGGGGGCTTCACGGGTACAAGGAGGGACCCCAAGAAGGGACACTTAATCTTATTCCACTATATAAGCCTCTTCTATGTATATATATATATATATATATATCTATATATGTTATATATTATATACCTTATATATATATACATATATATATATATATATATTATTTATACCTTTCGCATGGACACCTGGACAAAACTCCTCCTAAACCCTAAATCCTAAACCCTAACCCTAAACCCTAAACCCTAATTCCTAAACCCTAAACCCTAAACCCTAAACCCTACACCCTAAACCCTAAGCCCTAAACCCTGTCATGGTAACTTAGTCTTAAGCTCCTTCACTAGAACCCATGCCACACCGGCGCATCTCATGAGGCGGCGGTCTGCTCCAAGCTTGGCCGGGAGGCCAGGTCTAGGGTTCACTTGGGGTTTATGGTTTAGGTTTTAAACTTTAGGGTTTAGGATCTAGGGTTTACGGTTTAGGGTTTAGGATCTAGGGTTTAGGGTATAGGATCTAGGGTTTAGGATCCAGGGCCTAGGGTTTAGGATCTAGGGTTGAGGGTTCAGGGTTTAGGATCTAGGGTTTAGGGTTTAGTGTTTAGGATCTAGGGTTTAGGATCTGTTGTTTGGGGTTTAGGGTTCTGGGTTTAGGGTCTTTGAAAGCATGTTGTGAGCCCATCTAGCAGAGGATACATTGAAATGCCTTCATTGGTTCACCTGCGAGTCGCCTGCGAGGACCCATGTCCCAAAGCTCAATCCTAAACCCTAAACTTCTGGGTTCTTTTAGCATGGCATGCGGGAATTGCGTACCCTATATGTTGCCAGAAAGTCATAAAAGGGAAAGAAGGCGGATTTAGGGTACCTAGTTACCTCATCCCCTACTAAGAGTCAGTAGGTAAACCCGAAGCCCAAAAGTTGAAGCCAAGAGCTTCAACCACCAAGCGCAGCCCAGGGTTCAGGGTTGGTTTAGGGTTTAGGGTTTAGGGTTTAGGGTTTAGGGGTCAGGGTGAACTTTCGACTTCGCTGGTGCCCCTTGAAGCCTCCGGGCTGGGGTTGTGGGGTTTACGGTTTGGGTTTTACATCTTCGCATCTTGAAAATCATGGGCTGAAAGCTCCCGAACATGCCGAACCCTAAGATCTCAACCCTGACCTCAGTTCAGAGGCCCTCTTAACCTGCTAAACACTTATGATGAAGCCTTATAAGCCTTCGAAGCCCCTAAACTTCCCTTAACCCCTAGAGCCTTGTAAGATTTGGGGTTTGCGGTTTAGGGTTTACACCCTGGTTAAACCCTAAACCCTGGTTAGGCCTCCTCCCTCCGTCGCGCTGCAACGCTGACGGCCTTGCCTCACAGCCGGGCTGCGGGTCTACGCTCCCGGGCAGTACGCATGTGGGGGCTTGCGATAATGGATAATAGATAGGGGTACCCCAATATATATATATATATATATATATATATATATGTATCCGTAACCCCAAATATTATAATCCTTGTGTTTTTGGAGCCCCCAAAATGGGTGCCCCAATTTTCGGAGACCTCCATGTAAGGTTTAGGGGTGACGGCTCTTTTCGCTGCTTTGCGGGGTTGACTGTGTGGTTTCTACAAGGCACCCTCCGCCCCAAACCCTAAACTGCCCTAAACCCATCACTAGAAGGGCGCAGGGCTTGCTAGCCCCACCTCAATTCAAATACCGAGGTATCGGACATCCGCTTGGGACATCTGGTTTTGGGTTTATGGACCAGCCTGCATGTAGCTAGACTTCTACTGAGCAAGATGGCCAAAAAAATCCTCGAGTAGACTGGAGAGGCTTTCGTGCAGATCCTCTGACTGTAGCACTGCTAAATTAAACTAGGTAGGTCCTTTGGATATTTTACATGTGCGTTCAAGAGGATCTCGTTTGGACTATTTTCCATTTTTCAGAGGGTGTTAAGGGCCAACCTGGTAAACTAGACAAACGACGGCACTGACTAGACATGGCGCGTGTCCTCGCGCACAACCAAGGCTACACGGGATCTGTTTTCGCTGAGATGACTTGGACCGGAGTTGAGGGCACCCGCGTGTGGCTCTACGAGCGACAGGAGTCGCAACATTGAGCTTCGCTGCCTACAGCGACATGGTGGCATACCGCTGGCCATCTATCCCTGGGTACGTACAGGTGCATTTGGCTTGTCATGCATGATTTACTTCCTCTTGGGCATTCCAAACCGTCCCATCTGAGCTCCGATTCTTCGAAGTCCTTCTGCTCCCGATTTCCATCGGATGTCCGACGATCGACGGTTGTGGCGCAGGCTATTTTTGGTGCGCGGAAGGCTTGGTGCCGCTCGGAAGATGGACCACGAGCGTCAATGATTACGGCTTACTGCTGGGGTGGGCCCATGAACCTTCATGATGTTGTAGACCAGATCGACGAGATCGACAAGGTGAAAGTTCTGCTGGCCTGGCCTCGGCCTGGCTTCCGATATCAGGGTCTGTACGACAACCCTGGCTCTAAAGCTGGACAAAAGGCTTTCGCAGTGTGGAGGGATTACAGCTTCTGGCTTTCGGAAGTGGTTCAACCCTAATTGGTTACGATCACTGCTTGCCATCCGAGTTTTTTCATAAAGAGTGGCTAAAACCCCAACACCTCCAAACAAACCCAACCCCTCCAAGAAGACCTTTGCCCCGACGCCCTCAGCAAGACCCTCGAAGGTTCCCTTGAGGCCACCAGGCTTCTACTTGGAGGCTCATGGTACTTATTAACCAACTATAACTGCACTTATAACTGTACTTAAAACCCTCTTAGGGCACTTCAGGGGCGTAGAAGTGGGTTAGAAGTACAGTTGCAATTGCTTCATAAGTACCATGAACCTCCAAGTAGTGCTTTACGGTCGACTCGGAGCCTTGCAGTACTGATCACCACTCCACACAATCAAGGCAATGGTAAATGCCCTATTTCGGGGGTCAAATGCTATCCTGCAGCCCCTTACTCTGGAGGTTAGTTGCTCTCACCAAAAGGAGCCCTTTAACCCCTAAATCCTAATCCTTGTGATTTAATCCCGACGACCCAAAAACCTAAACTGACCACCTCGGCCGCTTCGATTTTGGAGTTTAGGGCTTGCGGTTGTGCGGTCGTCTGGTTGCTTTACCTCGACTGGTCGGCCGTGACTGACTATTTCCCTTTCCGTCTCTCTCTCTACCTCTCTCTCTCTCTATCTCTCTCTCTTTGATCTTTATTATCCTTTCTCTCTCTCGCTCTCTCTTCTCTCTCTCCCTTCTCTCTTTCTCTCTCATGTCTCTCTCTCTCTCTCTCTCCTCTCTCTCTCTCTCTCTATGTCCCTTCTCTCTTTCTCTCTCTCTCTCTCTGTCTTTCTCTCTCTCTCTCTCTCTCTCCGTCTTTCCATCTTTCTACTCCTTTCTCTCCATCGCTCTCTCTAATACGTGAGGCTGAAGCCCGGTTGGGAGTGTCGTTATCATTGGTCGTCTGTCTTTGCTTTTCCCTCACAGGGCACTGATGTGTGCGGGGAGCAGGAAAGGGTGGGTTGCAGTTAAACCACACTTTCGTGCAGGCAACAGATCGCATCATTCCGGGCACCGTGCTAGTTGCGGAAGTCTTCTTCACGGGTCGGGTGTTGGGGGTCCCAAAGCCTGAGCGCCAAGCAAGAACAGCTTGTAAGCGCCCGCAACCAATGCGCAGGCCGTTGTCGATGCCCTGCAGCGTGGCGCGCGGCCTGTGGTGGAGAAGCGAGCTCGAGGGGCGCAGAGCAACGTGCCGAACTCGCAAATGGCATGTGGGTAGTAAACGATTCAATTGGGGGCTGCTGTATCAGGTCTGAAATCGACTTGGCAACAAACCCAAAGCGAGCAGGCAAGCCAGAAACAAGCAAGAGCAGCAACAGTAGCAACAGCAGCAAGCGTAGCAACAGCAGCAAAGACGACGACCACCACCACAACCACAGCCACAACCACAGCAACAGTAACAGCAACAGCAACAGCAACAGCAACAGCAACAGCAACAGCAGCAAAGCACAACAGAAGCAACACCAATAGCAATTGCAATAGCAATAGCACAAGCTGCAGCTGCAGCTGCAGCTGCAGTTGCTGCAGCAATGAGTATTTCAAAGATATCACTCCTGAAATCCCAGACTCTGCAACCCTTCTTCTTCTGCAAATCGCCTTCAAGGGTTTGTGTTTCCGCCTTAGTGGCTGAGTAGGTAGCCTTTACACTTCCTCTTTGAATTTACATTCCTTCCCTACACCCCGAAGGCCCCAAAACCCCCCAAACCCTAAACCCTAAACCCTAAACCCTAAACCCTAAACCCTAAACCCTAAACCCTAAACCCTAAACCCTAAACCCTAAACCCTAAACCCTAAACCCTAAACCCTAAACCCTAAACCCCTAAACACTAAACCCCTAAACCCTAACCCTAAGCCATAAACCATAAATCTAAACAGCCTAGCCACAGGTGCGCCTGCCAGAGGCGCATTGGGTGCATTCACTGCTTGCAAGAGGTCCTTGTAGGGTGTAGGGTTTAGGGTTGAGGGTTTGGGGTTTAGGGTTTAGGGTTTAGGGTTTAGGGTTCAGGGTTTAGGGTTTAGGGTTTAGGGTTTAGGGTGTGCCTGAAGGCTCTAATGTAGCTCCTTTTTGGTTGGTTTTAGGGGGTTTTAGTACACCACCCCCAAAAAGGTACTACATAGGAGCCTTTGGGCACAAATTCTCAGGTCAGGTAGCCTGCCACGCGGGCCATGCGCATATCTAAGCCCTAAACCCAAAACCCTAAACTCAACCCTAAACCTTAAATCCTCAACCCCCCCAGCTGCTTCATCCTTGAACCCCTGCCTCTGGCCCCTGTGATGCATCAGCGTGCTGCCCCGTCATCGTGTGCAGTGAATGCGAGCAAGGGTTTAGGGTTTAGGGTCTAGGGTCTAGGGTTTAGGGTTTAGGGTTTAGGGTTTAGGGTTTAGGGTTTAGGGTTTAGGGTAAGACGCTTGCCAGAGGTGAGTGGGCGCAAGGGCAAGGAGAAGGAGTCGAGGCAGGTGCATGTTTCGGTTTTTTTTGGGGCACTGGGGATTCAGGGAGTGAGGGGTTTAGGGCTTAGGGTTTAGGGGAACCTGGGCTTAGGAAATGAGGTACCTTATGTGCCCGTATATAACCCTTTCAGGACTTTTACAGGGCAGAAGCATTCCCGAACTCTCTATTTGAGACGTACTCAGGCTTTTAGGGATGCAGGAGCTCTTCAGAGAAATTTTAAGATGGGTTGTAATAAGGGTTCGTGCTCAGGGTTTAGAGTTCAGGGTTTAGGGTTTAGGGTTAAGGGCGTTAAGGGGTTCTCTGCCGGCAACAAACCCCAGACTTGTTGCAGCACATTATCAACCAGCAGGATCTTTACCTGTTTTCCTGTACTCGTACCTCTTGAGACCACTGTGTTGGCAGCTGTTTCAGATACTTGTCCCCAAAATGACCTCAAGATATTTTCCCTTCCCTTTTTAGTAAGGGTTTCCTATTTCGGCGCTCCATTCCCAAGCGTCCGTCCCTTGAAGGACAAGCCCCATCTACACCCCAAATCCCTGAACAGGTGGAGAGTTTAGGGACCGTAAACGCTAACCCCTTAACCCCTAAACCCTAGCAAGACCCTAAACCCTAAACTCAAAACCCTAATTAAACCCTAAACCCTGCTCTGTGCCACCCCCCCCCCCCCCCCCCGCCCCTTGGAGGCCCAAAGCGAGCCTGCCGGTAGAGGAGGAGAAGGTGGAGGAGAAGAAGAGCGCCAAGGCGTGCAGCGTAGGGTTTAGGGATTAGGGTTTGGGGTTTCGGTTTTGGGGTTTGGGGCTTCGGGTTTAGGGTATAGGTGGAGGGAAGGGAATATTTCGGGTGGTCTCCGGGGTGTTCAGAGATTGGCGGCTTGGTGTCCGGGTTTTTGAGCGGTGTTTAAGGCGCCAGAAGCCACGAAGAGCAGCTATGTTGAGCTCATTTTGTGAGAGATCTACGGAGGGACCCCTAGAAGGGACCCTTAATCTTCGTCCCCATCACATAGTTTCAACGTGCCGTAAGTAGCCCCTACATTACCCCTAAGGTCCCTTTTAGATGGGTCCCTCCTTTAGTCCTCTGATCATTGAGGAGTCGGTAAGGGGGGAAAGGTTCTGGCACCTGCCAGGCCATGTGCCTAAACTGCGAATATACCCTAAGCTCCACTGTAAAGTCGGTTTAGGGTTTAGGGTTTAGGGTTTAGGGTCTAGGGTTTAGGGTTTAGGGTGTCCTCCCTGGCTAGGTGCCACCGAAGGATGCAGCTTCTTCGATGGCTTCTTGGTTCTCCAAGGCACAGAGCCCGGCTAAACAAAACTGTTTGCTAGGTACTTAGGCTTTCTTCTGGCTGGCTCTTGGGACTTTAACCTTTTGGATTTCTGTAGAAACTACAAGAAGGAGCCTAAAAGTTAACTTTTAGGAGGGGTTCAGAAGTCAGCCAAGGGTAGGCCCTTTCGGACATGGCACGTTTGCCCTGGATGGGTTTAAGACGATCATGTCTCAAGGCGCAAGATTTTCAGAGGTTGTTTGAGGGCCACCCTGCTTGTAGCTGCATGAGAATGCTAAGACACAGATGTGTGATCCTTAACCCGGCTGTCTTCCGCTGAAAGAGAGGAGATTCAGAACATGCGCACTGGTTCTTTTCTGGTGGAGTCCTGGAACTGGCCCACTAATATAGGGGTCGGAATAGCTACTAATAGTATTCCCTTAGGGCCCCTTTATAGTTATACTATAATAACCCCCCAGAACCCTACTCTAATTTTTCAGGCCCCTATACTACTTGGCTCGGCAGCCGAAACATCAGGCTGTTGCGAAATCAACATTTGTTTTTCCAGCTTTCGCCTTCTAGGGGAGCCCCTGAAACACCGCACGTTTTAAGACGGTCCTGTCAAGATTTCAGTGCCCACTCAGGTTTGCGTAGGAATCCTTGACTCCTAGAAATCCAAACCACTTACAAGCCGGCTTCCAAATCATGATCAGGTTGACGCGCCCTGCTTCTTTAGTTTACTCTTCTACTGGAAGAGAGTCGGGGAAAGATCGGGAAGGAGAGGGAGGGGCAGGGAGAGAAGGGAGTGAGAGAGAGAGAGAGAGATG